AGATAGATAGATAGATAGATAGATAGATAGATAGATAGATAGATAGATAGATAGATGAAAGTCAGTCTCATGTAGACAGGCTGACCCTGAACTCACTAAACAGCTATGGTTAGCTTTGAATTCCAGCTCCACCTGTCTCCTAATAGCTGGGACTAGACGTGCCACCACACCCAGTTTCTGCCGTCTTCTTTGACTGTGTAGATACCACTGATGTATTAAGAACTCTTCATTTGATACAACAAACTTCCAAGATCATTGTTCCAGGAGCTGTAGAGTAACTCTTCAGGGTCATAACTTTTTAAATTTTTTTTCTTTATTATTATTATTTATTACAATTTATTCACTTTGTTTCCTGGCTGTAGCCTCCTCCTCATCTGTTTCCAGCCCCACCCTCCCTCCCTTTTTCACCCCACCATGTCCCTCTCCTAGTCCACTGATAAGGGAGGACCTCCTCCCCTATTATCTGGCCCTAGCCTATCAGGTCTCCTCAAGGACTTTCTCTGTGGCCTGGTTTGGCCACCTTGCAGGGCCATAATGTTAAAAGAATGAATAAGCCACTGCTGGGAGTGGCATAGGTCATGTGAGAAGTGAGACAAGGACCCATGTCGCCTGTCCCTTGGTAGGGACACAGTCTTCCTCACAGTCTTACTTCTTCATGGGAATCTCATTTTCATAACACACCTGTGGTGCTCCAGGCAGAAGGTAGAAGCCGCCAGTTCTAAGGTTGAAGCCTTGATAGTTCTTTTCATTGAACTTGTTTCCTGGGCCAGTGGGTGGAACAAAGCTTCTTTTAACCTCTCTTGGTCCTTGTTGCATGGTTACAAACACAGACTGTTTAACTTGGTTAGCGCTCGTCTGTGGAGTTCAAATCCCTGCTCCGAGCTTGTGCATTTTAATCACTGCTTAATCTTGGCGCACATCCACCTAGCTCCTCATACCTTTTATATTTCTTTGCGTATAGAGCAATTATCAAAAATTTACCAAGTTAGTGATTGTACTGTCCAAAGAAGTTAATCTTCATGGTACCATTAAAAAAAAAAAAATCCTTTCTAATTAGAATGACTATGATCAAAATGTATTAAAGTCTCAAATAATAAATAAAAACATTATTATATTTTTTTTGAGGAGGAAAAAGTACCCTCAAATTAAATAGGGACTTCAGTTCATTGGGGACAAAGAATTTTTACATAGTTCAGCCCATTTCTTAAAGGTACAGAGTACCTTCTTGAACAAATATAAAAGCAGTGACATGTGCCACCATACCTGGCTTAAAAGTTGATTCTTACTGTTTGTGTATGAAGTGTTTGCCTTTAAAAAAAAATTATTTGCAATGTGGGACTGGAAAGATTGCTCAATTGTCAAGAGAACTGACTGCTCTTCCAGAGGTCCCGAGTTCAATTCTGAGCACCCACATAATGGCTCACGACCTTCCATGATTGTAGTCCTATGTATTCTGATGGCCTCTTCTGGTGTGCAGATGGGCACCCATACAAAATACCATATGTATAAACAGGCCAGGCCCTAGTGGCACATGCCTTTTGTCACAGCACTCTGAGTTCCAGAACAGCCTGGTCTACAGGGCAAGGTCCAGGACAGCCAGGGCTACGCAAAGAAACCCTGTCTCAAACAAACAAACAAACAAACAAAGGTAAGTAAGCACATAAATAAATCTTTTTAAAAAATTTGCAGCGTTAATGCAATCTATTTGTTAAGTTGTAGAAACCTTCGCTTTACGTACTTTGTCAGAAAGCCCCTGACCTTTGCATAAGGTACGAACCACATTACCCCCTACAATGGTTTATTATTCTGTTTCTACTTGAGCCAACAATCTTAGACATGGTTAAAGGAGGAGAGTAGAAGCAAATTGTATTTCCTGGCATCAGTCTTTCCCAAAGGGCCCTTTAACTGTTTTGATGAGTTGATGATATATGCTTATTTTCCTTAGGTATATGAAAATAGTAGAAGCCCTGCCAACCTATGGAGTTCATTATTATGCAGTGAAGGTAGGTACTTCTCGTATTCCAAAGTTTTCCACAATGCCCACCAAGCTGTGCGAGTCACTGAGCAGCGCCAGCTGTCTAAAACAGCACCTAAATGTGTATGCGAACTGTGTCTAGAATTTGTAGTGTTTTTAATTATCTTTTAAAACATTTATTTTATTTCTGTGTGTCTGCCTGCACATATGCCTGTGTGCTACATGCTTACAGTGCCCAGAGAAGCCAGAAGAGGCATCAGATTCTCTGAAACCTGAGTAACAGATGGTTGTAAGATACCATATGGGTGCTGGGTCTTTTGGAAGACCAGTCAGTGCTCTTAACTACTGAGCCATCCCTCCAGCCCCCAAATGTCAGCATTTTAAATAGAATTGTTAACTTAAATGTTTTAAGTCTATTATCATTTTTAACAAATTATAACAAAGATTATTTTTGCAAAAAGCTACATTCAAATGCTTTCCCAGGTGTATTCTCTCTTAGCTGATAGTCTCATTCTCTCTCTCTCTTCTTCCCTCCCTCCCTCTCTCTCTCTTTCTTTCCCTCCCTCTCTATCTCCCTTCTCCCTCCCCTCTCCTTCCTTCCTTTCCTCTAGCCCTGCTCCCCTTACATGTTGGGTATTGAACTTAGGAACCGGGGCATGCTGAGTCCACACTATACCACTGAGTTTCACCTGCAGTCCTAGGTCATACTTGAATGCTCCCAGCTCTTCGTTTGCTCACCCCTCTGTGTGACAGTCACACCAGTCTTCAGTGTTTATGTGAAATGCTAAAAATTTTGCAGAATTTGCAGTATCATGCCCTCATCAATGTGCTTTGTCTTCTTATCTTGATCAGCAGGAAGAGTGCAGCTAAGACATATTTTGATGATAAAGGATGAAGCATAGATGAAGAGAGTTTTGTTTGAGAGAAGCATAACTTTATAACTGATTAGCTTTTCAGTGACTTTTGATGTCATGACAATGTTGACATCTTGGCCATTGCAGATGTGGGGAAATCAGATGATACACACTTTCATACTGAGGACACCTGTGCTAAAAACGTATACTGATTTAATCTTAATTCTCACTGATTCTGCTTTTCAGATACACACAAACCTAAGCCTCAAGTCTTCTTTTCCTCTGTCAGTACATTCTTTTACTGGGGGAAAGAAAACCCAATAAACAAATTTAGACGCATGCTATATTGATAATAGAATATCATCTATATCCACTCTCGTGTGTACCTCAGACTGATTATTCATGCTGTTGTGTAGTTGTCCAGCTTCCCAAAAGGTATTCTTGTCTCTCCCCTGTTCATTGTTCATTGTGTGCCAAACATCGGGACTTGGAACCTCTGTTTTCTCCTGGTAATCCCTTGGAAATGTCCCAGCCTTTGTAGACGGTTGTTTAACTAAGAGAACAAAGAGTCTATTTAAAAAATCATAACTAACTTTGTGCTGGATTAGTTCTTGGTTGAATTCAATTTTTTTATTTTATTCTCTCCAACGATTTACTCAGAACAGTAAGGCTTCAGTCCTTTGCATGATAATAACAACATTGGCTTTTTCTGTGTGTGTATTGTTTGAAGGGACCCTAAGAAGATATTTTAACAAGCTTGAGTTTTTCAGTATGGTTCTGTTTGCCAGGGAAGATTTATTTTGGCTTGTTGGTACTGGTTAAGGAAAGAAATTGCTTAATAGAGTTTTCCGTCTAGAAGAACATAACATTTAGCTCACGAGTCTCATGTATTTTCTACCTTTTAGGATAAGCAGGGACTTCCATGGTGGCTTGGGATCAGCTACAAAGGAATCGGCCAGTATGATTTACAAGACAAGGTGAAGCCTCGGAAAGTAAGTGTGAACCTGAGGGTGAGCCGATGCAGACACTCAAGGCAGTGTTCTAGAACTTTCAGGGGCACCTTGGGCGCTCTCCCATAGTGAACTTTGCTAAGTGAGCAGTGCTGCAGAGGCTACTTATGAGGAATGTAACTATTAAAAAGAACTCATCTGTGCACAGTCTAGAGAGTTCCACAATGGGCCAACTTTTCATTTGTTTGTTGAGATGGGTTCTCATGTGCCACGAACTGATCCTTGTGCCTCCGCCTCCTGAGTGCTAGGATTACGTGTGTGTGTGCCACCACACCTAGCCGTACCTGGCTGCCTGTTCGGGGCAAGAACCTAAAACTGTGCGCTGAGGTTCGGCTACAAAGCTAGCCACAGCATGGTTCACAGCTCCTACACTTTGGTTTAAATCCAGAGGTTTTTTTGTTTTGTTTTGTTTTGTTTTGTTTTGTGGTGATTATTTCTCAATAAGATGATTATAAGCAACCTCTCTACAATCACAATTATTTTTGCTTATCTTTTTTTTTTCCTCTGTCTTTATAGCAGACATATGTGCTTTCTGAAAAGAAAAAAAAAATTAATGGGTTAAAGTGCCAGAATCTATCAGATTTGGGTTTTCCAAAGCTACATAAGTCACTATTTATCATTATGTCATTGTACTCCTAGTATTCGAGAGGCAGAGATAAGAGAATCAGAAGTTGTGAGTTGACCCCGTCTCCAGGAATATTAAAAATGGGGTGGGGGTGGGGGAGGCCTTGATCATGAAGCTTCTCCTCTCACCTCAAGTGTAAGTGCACGGGTGTACACTGTCACCTGTCACGGACTGGTGAATCTGTAGAGATCACCATCCAGGGGCCGTTGGTCTCCGTGTCTACAGTGAGATAAGGACCCGCTCGCCCTGTCCATGCCCACCGCTGCAGGCTGTGGAGGGGAGCAGCGGCCTCTGAGTAACAAACCACGCATAACCGACCTTCCCTATCTCCCGCATGTCCACCTATCTCTTGCCGCGTTCTTCGTAAAGCATCCCTGGGAACAAGCCACACACTGTGTCTTCGGAGACCCCTTCTGTCATCCATCAATGCTCACAATCTTCCTTAGGTTATGACAGTCGAGCACCTTCCTTGTTCCCACTCCATGGTTGTGACATTAACACAGATAATATGGAAGCTTGTGTTGGACAGACCACGGCTCCCCTTCCCATGCTCATCCAGATCTGCTGGACCAGACTAGTTGGGCATTAAGGCTGCTTATTAGAGAATTAGCAACAAAAACAATAAAGCAGCATTTAACCACTGTGTCCTCCTATGCTGGTCACACGACTTGTGGTTTCTGTCAACCCTGTGAGCAACATCCACTGGAATAAGGAATGATGGGGATCAAATCCCGGGGCCTTGCAAAAGCCAGGCAATCGCCGCAATCCCCAGCCCTCTTGCCACTTTGAAAAGCCACCTAGCATTCCATTGTGTGGACATGCATAATCTTTTTAACAGATTCTCTCTCACGATCATCCGGTCCATCCTCCACCCAGTTCTGGGATTACAGGTGTGAGCCACCACACCTAACTAACTACCAATTCTCTTTTGACGGACATTACAGTTTCTGTGGGTGGGGCAGAGAGCTCAGGGCACAGAGCACAGTAAAGAGCGCCAGCCAAGCTGTAGCCTGTCATGTTTTCTTAAGGCATAGCTCGCCTGTATTACTATGTTTTTGCTCATCACTGTCCTGAATTTTACCTTTTCAGTAAAGAACACAGAAGAGTCCTGTTCGATTTTACTAAACTTATGTGCAAAGAAGAACTTAAGCCAACTCGCAAACCAACTTATAGTCAACCAGTGTAGTTTGATAAGTGAGAAATGCTCACAACATGGAAATGTCTCTTTAAAAAAAAATAAAAAGCAATCTCAGCATTCCTCCGTTGCAGCCCCTCCCACTCTCGGGCTTCTCTCTCCCCTTTCCTTAATAAATCTGTGTTTGCAGTGCATAACAAAAAACAAAAAAACAAGCAATCAGATTTTTCTCCCCAAGTAATGGTGAGTCAGATCCGCACAGCAAATACTGAGTTTAATTTCCTCTCTAGCGCTCATGACTCACAACCCTTGTTGTACATTCACAGCTTCATAAAAATCGGTATACATTGCTTCACGCTGATCACAATCAGGCTGGCTTGCTCATTCCGGAGTCTAGACGAGGGTCAGGAGCCACTTCCTTTTCTCAATGTGCAGTTTTCCGCTTTCATTTTCAAGGCCTGCCACTCACCTCTGGCAGGATGCTTAATCCCTCCTTGCCCTCCCCTTCTCCATCATTTCAGGTGCCTACTCTGTGCTGTGGTTTGCTTCCTGCTTCCGTTTGTTAAAATCTGACGGTGGATCTTGCTTCCTCGGACTTACTGCTTTCTGTAGCCTCTTGATTTGAGCTTGGGGCAGGAGCGTGTTCTGCAAGGCTCTCTCCTGGCCAGCTTGCACATGTTAAAAGAATGCATGGTTTAAAGGGTTGTGAGCACCGGCACAAAAAAAAGCTCATGCTTCAGCATCTGGGCATGCAGCAAGTTCTCCAGTGGCCCCGAAAGAATTCAGGTCATGCTTGCAAATTAGTGGAACACAAGCTGTAGGGGCAGCCTCAGGCAGGATGCTGGGTCTCCTGAGCCATGTGCCTGTCTTGATGGTGTAAAAAGCAAACCAGGAGGGAGGTGGACCAAGAATTAGAGACTGATGCCGAAAGGCTGTTTTCAAAAGCTGTTGTTTAAGACCTGCCAACATTTCTAGATATCTGTTAATTATTGCCTCTAGATGTTGGGGACATGTTTATTTTATTACCAGGACACTAGCAAGCACTCTTCATTTACTCTAGCTTTAGCTTTTTGCCAATCTAGGGGTTGGGGAGTAGGAGGCAGCAACAAGTGTTTTTCTATCGTGAAGCACTATGATGCAGGCAAGGAGTTGGGGGAACATCCTCAACCCTGGCCCTGATGTGTCTTTTCTCTGTGACCTTGGTTTTGTGTATGAATTTGTGTAAGTTTGTATAGATATCTGTGTATAGTTTGTCATCCAGTCCAGGGCCTCCGGCAGGGTAAGTGAGAACTCCACCACTGGGCTATATTCCCAACCCTTATTTTCTGGGTGATCCTGGGTGCAGTTTTAATCTCTCTTTAAAAGTGTGTTCCTCATTTGCACAACCGTGATCCCACTAGCTACTTGTGGAGGGTGTGAGAACTAAATGAGATTATATTCTGCCCCATGCCTGATAAATAACTATCACCTGATAACAGGTAACGCCTCAGCTTGGGCATGAGGGAGGCAGACAATTAAAGAGAGTATGGGAAATATTTTTTGGTTACTGACAGAGAAGGACCCAACCTTGCTATAAAGCAGCCCTGGTGTATTAGGAGTTCCTATCTTCATGTACTTGTAAACCCTTCTCTGCCTGATTTTAACAATAATGCATGAATACGTGCTACATATGAAAAGAAAAATAATTAATGACTTTAAGACAGGTTCTCACATATCTCAGGTTCTCAGATATCTCAGGTATATCATATGCCTTGAACTTGCTGTGTGGGTAGCCAAGAAACCTTGAACTCTTGATCTTCCTGCTTCCAACTGGGATTATAAGTGTGCACTACCAGGCCTTGTTTATGTGAGGCTGGGGTTCGAGTTCTAATTGCTCACCTAGCATTTTGAGAGAGAGAGGGAAAAAAAGTGTCTTTCACAAGGTACTAGACAGCACATCAGTGGCTGAATAAGGCATTAGAGAGAGAGAGAGAGAGAGAGAGAGAGAGAGAGAGAGTGTGTTATGACTTAACTCTGGCCCTACAGCAAGGACATCCCCTGGAAAGACAGCCTGTAGGAGAGCAGAGATGGGAGACCGACATGGCACTGTTATTCAAGGCATCATCTAGACTGGCCTGAGAAAGCACCTGTCAAGATTAGCATCTTTTTACATTACAGCATGATAAGAGAGCCTTGTGGTGAACACCATCGGTTAACTGATTTTTTTTTTTTAACTGTTGGAATCCCCTCGTGCCTGGAGGCGGATGTGTTAAGCAACACACACAAAATCCTTCTGTTCGCCTGTGGTAGCAGCACTAGGCTCATTCCTTTACTGTAAGGCAGCAGCTTGGTTATTTTTCTAGTCACAGACATCTTGACTGTTTCAACTTCTTGCTCTTTCCCTTGCCAGTCCGTCGCCATGGGCCCCATATAAGGTCCCCCGTCCCAGAGTAGGGTTAATGCTGGGAGACCAGGAGAGTGAGTGTGTGCGGTCCAGTCCCACTCTCTATCAATACAGCACACTGTCTGGTGTGGAGGAGAAACGCTGGCTTACAAAACATGGCCAGGAGACCAGTCCATCCTGTTCGGAAAGTCTGTAATTAAGCTTCAGCCACACCAATAATCAATCTGGTTGTTAGAACCTGCAGAGCCAGTGGGAGGACACTGCCAATCCTAGAACACGGATTTGAAACCAGAACCTGTTCTGCTCATCACTGACCAGCTGGAACTCTTCGAACTGACACCTGGCCTCTCTGTGCCCTTGTGTTCTCATCTGTCCAGTTCAGAGAATCCTGTCTACACTCTTCCCTCACAGGGCTGTAGGCGCTCAGTGGGCTGAAGGAGGGAAGGTGTCCCCCTTTACTCCATACTTTGCTGCGGAGTGTGACATCTCTCTTTGCCTCTGTGCTTAATCACAGTGAGGGTATGTAACTCTGTTAGGAGAACTTTCCGAGGTTCAATTGAGCATTGTTGAAGAAGGTGAACAGCATTCCAGAGCAAGCCCTTTGTCCTGCAGGAAGTCCCCATCTCGTTGCAAGGGAGGCTGGGAAGTGTCGTCTTGATGCTGACAGGCTGTGGCCAAAGCTAAAACTCAAGTTATTTTGTTACCAAAAAGAAATGTAAAAATATACTCTGGAGGAGGTGAGTTGTGTCTGCTAATCTATTTGTTTCACTGAAAATATTCTAGAGAGATGCTTGGTAAGAAACAACTAAGCAAAGAAATCATGTAATTGTAAAATTGCC